GTGAAAATACAATCTGAAGGGCCAGAATTGAAAGCAGATTCCTCGGCTAACGAAGGGCACATGCAACCCCGCTGCGGCCATTGCGGCAGAAGGCACCAAAACCACCTCTCGGGGCTGGGGGGGGAAGGAAAAATTTCGTTAAGGCTGGCAGGACGAGTCTTTATTAAATAAAGCGCGGCTCTGTAATGCGATACTGCAGCTGCAGCCTTTTCGCCACATTATGGAGTAATGTTTTCCCCTGTCCTTGTAGCAAACAATAACCATATGCTGGATTTGTTACCAAATGTTTATTTTATTTCTTCATTAGTACACAACGAGGACTCAGAAAAAAGGTTTCGTTGCTCCAAGCGCTCCGGAAGAGCTTTTAGCCAGGGACCCAGATAACTCATGCAGAAGTGCTCATGCTGCTGCCCAATGCCCGCTTGCAGCGGGTGCCGTTTGATGTTGCACTTTGCTGTGCGTTACCGCGTGACCCCGTTGCACCCCTGGATCCAGGGGTCCCGGTCGGGGACGTCCGGCATCTGCAGGAGTGGAGGAGCCGGGATGGGTGCCACAAATCGCATTGCTCCTCCCGCCCCGGGGCACCGGTCGCAGCACCGTCAGGAGGAAGGCCAAGCGAGACACCAAAGTTAAACAAATTCTTCTCCTGTGTTTTACAAACTCTCCCTATCTGATGGGACAGGCAGCACTGGGGCCAGGGGGACCAGCAATTGTTTGACACAGCAGAAGCGAATTTCTGGTTGCGTGCTGGAGCAGAGACCTCGGCTGCCTGCTGGTGAAGCCCACGAGCTGCTGATGTCCAGCACAAATGGAACCCCCGAGGTCCTGGTCAGCTGCGGCTCTCAAAAAGCCTCTGAACTAAAAGCCAGTTTTACAAAGTAGCCTTCCCCTTTCTAAAAGCGACAGCCTTGGCCAAGCCCTGCTCAGGGCACTGGGGCTCTGCCTGCGGCCGCAGGGGCTGGAGGAACCCATGGGACATCGCTGGTGCCTTCAGGGACCATCTCCAGGTGGTGCTCCTCAGGCAGAGGGGCCGTCGCCCATCGACGGTACGATGGGCTTGGGCATGGCTGTGCTCCACCGCAGAGCTGCTGCCCCACATGGACCCCTCCACTCCACATGGACCCTTCCTCTCTGCATGGACCCCCTCATCCCTGCATGGACCCCATCCTCCTCACATGGACCCCCTCATCCCCACATGGACCACCTCCTCCATGCACAGACCATCAACCCCCCATGGGAAACTGTCCTCCCAAGGCCAGCATTCATGTTTCAACCAGTAAGTTTCCACAAATGCTTTGAGTTTGACAAAACACCATTTTCTTAGGGAACATTTTCTCCACCAAACATTTAAGGCAGACCTAAGTTTCAAAGTTTGGGATTTCCCCCCCCACAAAGGGACTGAGAGCCTCCAGGCAAGAATCATAGAATCATAGAATCATTGAGGTTGGAAAAGACCTCTAAGATCATCGAGTCCAACCGTCGACCCAACACCACCATGTCCACTAAACCATGTCCCTAAGTGCCTCATCTACTCGTCTTTTAAATACCTCCAGGGATGGGGACTCCACCACTTCCCTGGGCAGCCTGGTCCAATGTTTCACCACTCTTTCAGTAAAGAAATTTTTCCCCCCATCCAATCTAAACCTCCCTTGGCACAACTTGAGGCCATTTCCTCTCGTCCTATCACTTGTTACTTCAGAGAAAAGACCAACACCCACCTCGCTACAACCTCCTTTCAGGGCGAGCCGCAGCAAACCATTTCCAGCAAAGACCAAAGAATTGTCTTGCTCCCAAAATACCCGAGAACGATGCTATTTCCACCAAGAATGATGCTGTTACCACCAAGAATGATGCTGTTTCCACAAGAACGATGCTATTTCCACCAAGAACGATGCTATTTCCACCCAAGAAGGATGCTATTTCTTTTTGGGGGTGATGGTAACTCACCCCAGAGCATCCCAAGCAAGGAAAAGCCTGGAAACGGGAGCTGGACTGCCTCGCTCGCTTTTGCTTTTTGGTTCCCCCCCTGCCCCTAAAGCAGCCTTGTGAAAAGAAAGAAAAATATTATGTTGTGTGTGTTGCTTCTGCAATTCAAAGCCCGGTCTTGACAGGGGGGAAAGAAAAAAAAAAAAGAAGGGAAAAAAAAAAATAAAACCGCCCCCAAAGAAAAATATTATGTTGTGTGTGTTGCTTCTGCAATTCAAAGCCCGGTCTTGACAGGGGGGAAAGAAAAAAAAAAAAGAAGGGAAAAAAAAAAATCAAACCGCTCCCAACTGCAGCACATGCTCATGGAAACAAGATGTGGCGCACATGAGGCTGTCCCAGGGAGAAAGTTTGCTAAAAATAACATATGCAGATTATGTACATAAAATGTCATGAAATATCAGCACATAAAACCGTGTGGTAGTTCAGGCTGTTGCAATTACAGCTCAAATGTGCCAGATGAAGGACACGCAGCATTTGGTGCGTCCGCAGTGGGAGCGAGGCGTGGGGCCAGCTCCTCTCTCCAGCCATTGCTCGCAGCACCGGGGACCATGGCCGGCCTCACCATGCAGAGCCGAGACCCTGCAAAAATATAGGGGGATGGGGCTTATTACTATTTTCTGGCTAAGGAGGGACAGGGATAGTCCTTGGGCTGCCTCTAAAGCCCTCGTACCTGCAAAGGGTCCCTTCTCAGGGGCTGGGGAGGGGCTGGGTTGGGGGCTGCTCCATCAGCCTGGAGCAAACCTGGGCACGGCTGTGGTGGAGCTGCCAGAAACACCCAGACTGGAGGATTTCCAGTTGTTGAAGTTCACCTGGGCACAGGATGGGGCTGTGGCTGGCGAGCCGAACCTCTACTTGGAAAGCAAATCTCAAGGTAATTTTTTACCCAGAGCATCACTCATCCTGGGTGAAGCAGACACCTAGCAATTACTTTGCCAGAGGAAAAATCCTGGTAACTAATTTTGCTTGTGTATGGGAGGATCTCAACACACCTCGAGGCACTAACGAGGCCTGCCAGACCCCCCTTGAGGTCCTTCGGGGTGGCATTATAAGGCGGCTGACATTTTCCGTGCTCCCTCCTTAGTCTTCTGGCTGCAATATAAATTTTCCTCAAGTTCTGCTTTTGTTATTTGCATGCATCTACACACTGTTTGTTTTTACGTGGTGACCTACATAACTCATTTTAATACATACTGAGGCGGCGGGGTTGGGCTGGAGAGGTGTTGGGGGGGATGCAGTGGCTCCGGCTGCAAGGAAGCTATCGTTTCTGTATTTTGGGGAGGACGGTGGGGGCGATGGCATCCCCTCCCCTCACTGTCCTGCTGGAGCCCTCTGTGCCAGTAGAAATGGTGTTGGGCCGTTTCCACTGGTGGCCAAAACCATGGATGAACTCGTCTTAACTGTCAATTTTAATAAAACATTTATGTTTTATTTGATTTCTGGCCCCCTCTTCCCTGTTTGCTCCTCATGATATAATGGCTCTTGTTAGCAGAAACACAGTGATGATCCGTGAGCCCCCAACCACGGGAAAGGTGGGGGGGGTCCCTCAGGCCACGTACTTCCACGTATATGGGAATATGTATTTTGTTTCGCAATTTGTCCTCACATAAGAGCCATCAGGACGTGCTGCTGTTGTCCCCATGGCAAGACCAGCCTGACCCCAGGTCACCACTTCTGCCTCTTCTTCACTTAATATTAAATATTAGTAATTAAATATTAGTAAGTATTTAAGTAAAATGGAGTTGGCTCTGATTTGGGAAAATCGTAAGTTATCGGGTAAAGCCAGTGGGGTGCAGGGACACCCTGCCCGGAGGGGGCATGTCCCCCCAGGGGCACCATGCTTTGCTCACAGCCTGGCTTTGGGAGTGGCTCCCTCAGCACCACGTAGGTATTTGGGCGAAGACCTCCCTGGGCATCTCGGTGGTGCCCGGTGCCTACGGGGAGCCAGCCTCTGCCCTCCCCGATGGGTGCCAGCACCCCCCAGCCCTTACAAACTATAATAGTCTCTTAAGTTATCCATGTTACACATTTTAATCACTTTTCTAGCAAATAAAGCTTTTACCCAGCTAGTTGGCCAGAATTAAATTACTTTACAACAGATTTTTATTTCTCCCCCCCCCCCCCCCCCCAAGGATACTTTTTATTTCAGCAAACACACGCTGCTCCAGCGGCTCCTGGGCCGAGCAAGGCCCTTTGTATGGCGTACAGAAAAGCACCGTGATTCATCGCTTTCTCATTATTTTGTGCTTTTGCTGGATATTGCCGGGGAATTTTTTTTTCTCTTCCTTTTCTTTCTTTCTTTCCAGTCCGCTTGAAAGGAGCTGATGGAAGGAGAGAAATATTCACCTCCCAAGTTTGCTCACGTGGCCGGCGGCAGCTCAGCAAACTTTTCTTGCCGCCATCCCCGCGCGCGGTACGGTGTGTGCTGGCACGGCGGCGCTTGGCAACCCCAGCGCTGGGACAGCCGTGTGAGGAATGACGCTGTTTGTTTGCTCTGCGTCCAGCTATTTGTCACTGGCCATTTTGCCTCCAAAGCTTTAATATTTAATGAGATCCGGGCTGGCCGGGCGCTGCGCAGCCATGGCCGGGCACTGCGGCTCGGTTTCCT